TATTTATTCACCCAAACTTAGTTGGTGTATCAATGTTATACCCAACACAAAGAAAATTTATACAAAATGTTTTATAGGTGGCACATTCCTCCAACAAAATTAGCAAAAATGTATCCAAATTTATCCCCTATTTGCTGGAAATGCTCCCAGGAAAATGGATCATACTATCATGTATGGTGGACTTGTAGAAAAGCCCAGGATTTTTGGCATAAAATTCAGAGTTGGCTAGAAGAAATGGGTGAAATCAAATTCGAATATAAACTGGAACTCTTCTTATTGGGAATTAATGCAGAGAGATATAATAAAGATATGATGTACCTAATAATACATGTGATTATGGCTGCAAGATTAGTCTATGCTCAAAAATGGAAACTTAAGGAAATTCCAGATGAAGCGGAGATAATTAAAAAGATATGGACATGCACAGAAATGGATAAACTAACATTGGAATTAAAAAAGAAAGATGAATCTGAATATTATAAAGCATGGGAAAAGTTTTACCACTGGTTGGGAGAAAGGAAGGATTAAAAATTTAAATTAAAATGAGATAAGGATGCTAAGATGACAGACTAGGAATATAAAAAATTGTTGATACTGATGTATATATTATGTAAATATGTATCATTTATTATCCGAAATAGATATGTAAGACAATTATGTGTGTCAGGATGAATACACCACGTTCACTGTTTTTAAATGCTTTCTTTTTGTTCAATAATTTTTTCTTAAAAAAAAAAAAGATGCATGAAAAGAAAAACAAGCAGAGAAGCAAACAAGGCAACAACTTCAGCCTTTGCTGTCTGTAGCTTTTCTCCAGTAAATTCATATAGATGATCCTTTAAAAAGTATAAAAAAGTGACAGTAATATTTTTTATGACTGTCATTAATTTATGCTAACATTACTGCTTTTATTCTGTATTCTCCTCCTTGAACCAAATAAATATGACTTCTCAATTTGCATTAATCTAGAAATTAATGTGGTAACTATTTTGTCATCTGTTAGGCTTTCAATTTATTAATATGAGTTAAAGATTTTTCAAAAGAACAATACTTAAATAAATTAATGACCTATCTTACTTTAACATTAACATAAGATAAGCAAATATACTAGTACCTATCCCTTCAAATAAGAACATGAATAACCAAGCTGTATTTAAGACAAAGAATACACAAGCACTACTTGGTCTTGCCAAGGGCTTGAAAATAAAAAAGTTATGTCTTACCGATTCTATAGGCTTGTCTAATGATGCCTGCTCAATCTCCAGATGGCTTTCTTCATACTGATCAAAGTGATTACCCTGCAAAAGAAGAATCATATATTATTCCCTCCATGCAACATAAACAATTGTGTTTGAATTTCTCTTAAAATGCCCATGAACAATTACTACCAATAGTTTCTCAGCCCACTTCATCTGTTAATTATATTATAAACTTTGTATCAGCTCAGCATTATCAGATTACTATCTCTTAAAACAAGGGTCCCCAACCCTCGGGCTATAACCCACCCCTTGGCCTGTTCAGAACTGGGCCATGGAAGTGGTGGGTGAGTGTGTACATGCAGCTCTATTCGTGCAAGCGGCAGGCGCATGTGCCCACGGCTTGCACAAATGGAGCTGTGCACGCTTGTCCACCGGCTGCACATAACCATTCCCTCTCCACAAAGCTGGAAAGGTTGCTATCTTAAAAAACAAAGAATTCACAATTAACATCTAATCTAGTTTGCAGTACCCAACACATATTACAACAACTGCATGGCATATTCTCCCTCGAGCCGCTCGGAGCATCAAGAGAGTGGGAGGTGCTTCAGAGTCCTCTCTCACAGGCTGAGCTTCAATTGAGGAACGTTCCGCCCCCTCACGTAGCTCCATGCAGCGTTCCCCAGTTTTTGCTCAGCCTCGGAGAGACAGGCTGTTTGCAGATAAGGATCCTTGGCTGATTCAGGTTTTGCTGCTCATTTCGATCCTATTTCTCACCCCAACTAAGAAATCAGGTTTGACCTTTTATTTCCTAGCCCCTGCGCAAAGGGTATCGACCTAGGGGGAGGTTTTCCCTCGCCCCAGGGGCTTAAGCGGGCGGGATCGCAGCGCTTCGCGCAAGGCCCCCCCCCATCAGATAGCTTCTCTGCCTCCGTGCCGCCTCAGCGGCTCGTTAATTTCGCGCTCAAGTGCGTCGCTGGTTTTCCCCCCACCCGAACGCCGACCTTGGGAAGGGCTAATTTCCTCCTTGCAGCCCTCTAGGCACACTGAGCTAGCCGGAGGAGCCCTCCCTTCCGTCCCGAGGGGCCCCGACGATAGCTCAGCTCGCGGCCGCCATCTTGGCGCCGCCTCGTGGTCGGGCGCCATTTTTTTCTTGTATTCTCCGCTGCGGTCGATCTAAGCTCCCACGGACCCCTGGGTCACGAGCTAAATTTGTAGTGGTCCTTTGACCGTCCTGGTCAAGCACAGTCATTGGCTTCTCGCAGCCTCACTCGGGGCGAAGATCAGCAGTCTCCTCTCCCCTTCAGTCTTTGTCTGGAGGTCTACTGCTAGGCCTCTCTGATACAGGCCTCAGGCATCCATTTGGCAAATTTGGTTTTCTTTTGTCTAGCCAGTTTCGTTTTTTCCCTATACAGTCCAAGTTTTTCAACCTCGTTATTGTACTTAATAATAATAATAATAATAATAAAATCCTTTTTATATTCAAAGCATAAAGTATATCAGATAAAAAACCTTTATATCAAAAAAAAAAACAAGAAATACTATCCTTGTATATATTTATACCTTTTTGCTACCTTAAGTACCTCTCCTGGAAATAGTATATTCTAAATTCCAAAAGGTGGTGGGGGCCAGCTCAGAGATCACCCGGCCTTGGTCGTAGGCCGAACTCTAGGCGAGCCAACCGCCTCTAGTGATACTTATCCAATTTCACTTATCAAAATGGCAAATGACAATTCCTCCAAACGCCCTTCTCTGAAGGCTAAGTCTAAGTCTTACCACTTGCGCAGGCAGGCTCAGGAACCTTCCAAGGCCTCCCAGCAGGACGCCTTAAGGCGCCATAAGGCACTGGAAAAGGAGTTTGATAGGCGATCCAAGGAGTCACTTTTGAGGCCTCCAGCCATTCCTCCTTCCACTCCCTCCACCTCTACTCAACCCCTCCTTCCAGACCTCTCTTCCAGATCCAGGCGCACCTCACCTCAGGGTCTTCAGGCCCCGGGACCATCGACCAGACGAACTCCTGAAGCCACCTTTACACCTACGGCCGCTGGTCTGCGCCAAGAGGATCCTTCTACTACTATGGAGGTCCCAGCTCACATCAAGGCATGGATGGAACTGGCTATCCGCCAGGGTATTGCGGAGGGTCTGCAACACATGTCCAGACCTGACTTCTCCCCAAGGGCTTCCGAACACGAGTCTCTGTCCATCAGATCCCTTCCAAGATCGGATCCTCCTATTGGTCAGGTACTCTCACAGAGGGATAGCCCTCCTCCGGAAAGGGTCCAAGAGGAGGAGGAAGGGGCTTTCAATTATTTCAGGGAAGAGGAGGAGGAATCCCGAATGGGATCTTCTCGTTTCAGTGAGCCTCTCTTAGAGGCAGAACTGAGCGAGGGGGAAATGTCGGAGGATGAAGGGCTTACCCCCGACCAGCCTACGTTCGTGGGGTTGTTCAAGCCCCACATGTTCAAGTCCCTTCTGTTTAAGGCCAAAAACATCTCTGGCCTACTTCCCCAGTCTCCCTCTGCCCCCCCCTCCACATCAGAGGGCCAAAAGGACTCCATATTTAGGCAGCCCCTGGTGGAGGCTGAGGTCATCCTGGCCGCACCTATTTTTTCAGACCTAGTGATGAAGCAGCTGACTTCCACGGGGGGCCCCCCTGCACCTTCCAAGCAGGACAAGAGATTCTTTAATCTCGACTCGGACTTTTCTAGTCTTTTAGACATCCCCGAGGTTGATCAGCCCATCGTGGACCTAGCATCCTCCTCCACCCCCAGTGAGGCATTGGAGGCGCTGAAGCCCGAAGACAAACGGGCGAAACTGGCCTTACGCCGGGCCCACCAATCCGATGCTTGGGCCATTAGATCGGCCACGGCCACCTTTTTCACCAGGTCCTCAATCTGGTGGCTTCATCAGTTGAAGCAGCACGTCCCCTCCTCCAACACACATGCACATCAGGATATAGCTAAGCTCATGGCGGCAGCCGAATTCTCGGCTGACGCCACTTACCAATCTGTGAAGTTTTCCTCTAGAGCTATAACTTCACATGTCACGGCCCACCACCTGCTCTGGCTCAAACACTGGCAGGCGGACATTAAAAATAAAGTTAAACTGGCCACCCCTCCCATTAAGGGAGACAAACTGTTCGGCCCAGCTCTAGATCCCCTGCTGGTTGAGGGCCGCAGTAAGAAAAAATTTCTCCCCTCCCTCTTTCGGAGGTCAGAACCGAGAGGCCCTCAGTCCTTTCGGAGAGGCTCCCCCCGTCCCTTCTATCAGCCCTCCTTCCCGCCCAGATACCCGAGACCCCCTTCCTTTCAATCCCAACCTCAGGATCGAACCGACACGGGTGACAGAAGCAGAAGGGCGGCAACTATAGGAAACCCTTTAGGGGATCAGGGGGAAGACCCTTCTGTCGTCCCAGATAGAATACGTTCTTCCCTCCCCATTGGTGGCTGCCTCAGACACTTCGCCGCCCAATGGGAAGCATCTACCTCCGACGCTTGGGTTAGAGACACCATCAGGTTCGGTCTCGCCCTTGAGTTTCGGTCTGCCCCCCCGACTTCTTCATGACATCCCCCCCCTCAAGGGACCCCTCCAAACGTCAATTGATGGATGCCGCCATCCAGCATCTCCTTGACATTCAGGCCATTCAACCCGTTCCCCCAGCCCAGCGAGGGCGGGGATTCTACTCCCACCTCTTCGTGGTTCCCAAGCATTCCGGGGGATGGAGAGCAATTTTAGATTTAAAATGACTTAACCGTCATTTAATTCAGCGCAAATTCAAGATGCACACCTTGCAATCTATCCTCTTCGGTACCAGGCAAGGGGACTGGCTATCCTCTATAGACCTTTCCGAAGCATATTTACATATCCCAATCCGGCCCTCCCACCATAAATTCCTCAGATTTTGTTATAACAACCTTCACTTTCAATATGTGGCCCTCCCTTTTGGTCTGGCATCAGCCCCGAGGACCTTCACCAAGGTCCTCGTGGCTCTAGCGGCCCACCTCAGAAGCCTTCCCGTACTCCTCCACTGCTATCTGGATGATATTCTCATCCTCTCCCCGTCCAAACGCCAGGCAGAGAGGGACACCAGGGTTACTCTCTCTGCTCTCCAGGCCCACGGGTTCCTTATTAACTGGAAAAAGAGCCAACTGGCTCCCTCCACCCGAATTATTCACCTGGGGGCCGTAATCGATTTGGTTTCAGAAAGGGTCTTCCTCTCCCCAGAGAGGTTCCTCAGTATCCAAAGTTTGGTCAAACAGATTAGACGATCAAAAAAGGTTTCTTTACTTGACCTCTCCAAACTCCTAGGTAAGATGGTCTCATGCATATCCATTGTTTCCTGGGCCCGTTTACACAGCAGATCCCTGCAGTGGTTCCTGCTCCCATTCCAAAGATCCGGAAGAAGCAATTCGAGATCCAGGGTCAAGGTACCTCCACAGGTCCTCACGTCCCTCCTCTGGTGGATCAACCCCGCCATCAACAAGGGCCAGCTCTTCAAGGAGCCCCAGAGGCTTACCCTTACCACAGACGCCAGCTTATCCGGATGGGGCGCTCACACCAACTCGCTCATGGCTCAGGGCAAATGGTCAAGGGCAGAACAAGGACGCAACATCAACTGGCTGGAGCTTCACGCCATCCATCTGGCCCTGCAAAGCTTCCTCCCTCAGGTGCGCGGACGGCATGTCCTCATCCTCACGGACGTCACGGCCAAAATGCACATCAACAGGCAAGGGGGTACCCAGTCCATTCAATTGATGAGGGAGGCCAAGTGTCTCTGCCGTTGGGCAGAGTCCAACCTCCTCTCGCTGAGGGCAGATCATATCTCCGGAGTTTCCAACATCCAGGCGGACTGGCTGAGCAGGGCCACGGTGGACCAGTCAGAATGGCGCCTCCACCCATCCCTGTTCAGGGAGGCATCCAGGATCTTCGGCCCACCGGTGGCGGACCTTTTTGCATCCCCGGCCAATGCACAACTTCCCAGGTTTTTCTCGAGATACCCGTCCCACGGGTCGGAGAAGCACAACACGCTACGCTGCCCCTGGCCTCCAGGGCTCCTGTACGCCTTCCCCCCCCAGCCCTAGTGCCCAGAGTGATCCGGAAGCTCATCCTCAAGAAGGCAGATCTGCTGCTGGTGGCCCCCTATTGGCCCAGGCGCCCTTGGTTTGCGGACCTCCGCAACCTATCAGTAGCGCCCCCCTAGAGAATCCCCCCCGGACAGAATTTCCCTCTCCCAGGGGCCCCTGATGCACCTGGACCCTCAATGGCTCCAGTTAGCCGTCTGGAGGTTGAACGGAGCCGTTTAAAAAAAGAGAAATTCTCCAGTCAGGTAACTGACACCATCCTGGCCGCCAGGTGGCCCTCAACCACACGGATTTATGATGCCACTTGGAATGGCTTCTGCAGGTGGTGTCATAAGTCCCAAGTCAACCCCCTCTCCCCCTCTATTGCCCAGGTTCTGGAATTCCTCCAAGAGGGCCTGCTCAAGGGGCTTTCCCCTAACACCCTGAGGCGACAAGTCGCAGCCCTGTCAACTGTTGTCTCCTGTGACAGCTTCGGCTCCCTCTCCCATCACCCTAGGGTCAGGGCCTTTCTCAGAGGTGCCACCAACCTGTGCCCCCCAACTGTTCACAGATATCCTACCTGGGACCTCAATAAGGTCCTCGTTTCACTCACAAAGCACCCATTTGAGCCTCTTAGGGAGTCCTCTCTTCAATTCTTAACGTTTAAGGTAGTTTTTCTGGTGGCCATTACATCAGCACGGCGAGTTTCAGAAATCGCAGCCTTATCGGTTAGAAAGGACCTCTGTGTGTTCCACGCCGACCGGGTGGTTCTTCGTCCCGACCCCACCTTCCTGCCTAAGGTCAACTCAACCTTCCACAGGTCGCAGGAACTGGTCTTACCAAACTTTTGCCCCAGACCCTCGAGGGACAGGGAAATTCTCTGGCACACTCTAGATGTGAGACGGGCCTTGCGCATCTACATCAAGCGCACCCAGCCCCTGAGAAGGTCGGAATCCCTTTTCCTTTCTTTTCAGCCCTGGGCTTCCCCGTCTCCCTTCATTAGGCATTACAAAATAGACGTATATGCCTCAGCGGAGGCCTCGTTTGGCCGACGAGTCCTACAGAGGGTCATCAGTGACCCAGAGGGGCTTCCGGCCCAGACGGAGTCCCTCCCGTAGGACTGCCAAGCTTTGGTATGTCCCACTCTCTGGATGCTCCGAGCGGCTCGAGGGAGAATAGGTGTTGGTCCTTACCTGATACGCCCTTTCTCGGCGAGCAGCATCCAGCCCCACCCTATTTCTCCATCTGGTGGGGGAACTTGTTTCAGCCAAGGATCCACTAGTTCGATAGGACGAGTACATAGCCTTTCCTTTTCGTCCTCGCAAAAACTGGGGAACGCTGCATGGAGCCACGTGAGGGGGTGGAGCATTCCTCAATTGAAGCTCAGCCTGTGAGAGAGGACTCTGAAGCACCTCACACTCTCTGGATGCTCCTTGCGGCTCGCCGAGAAGGGGCGTATCAGGTAAGGACCAATGCCCATTTTGCTAGACTTCAGTATCTCAAGATTACTTACTGACACACCAAGTCACCCAACCATGGGCACTGCTCCACAGAGCAACACAGTCAAGTGAATGTTAGTTGAAGATGAATCACATTTCAAAGCAACATAGCCCTCTTATTTTCCTGCAAATCTCACATAAAGAAGCATATTAAGCACTCATTAAAACGTTTGATAAATATCACAATAACATAGTATAACTATAAGCATCTATGCTGCCACAATTAAATCTCCATAAGAAGTAAATATAACTTAGAACAGGGGTGTCAAACTCAAGGTCCGTGGGCCACATTTGGCCCACAAGGTGGTTAGATCCGGCCCACAGAACTGCTCTGGAAAGAGTGAAGGACCGGCTCACAGTGCCTTGGCCTGGCCCAGGCTGACCGGGAGCTGATCTGCAACCTGGTGGCAACCATCTGGGCCAGAACACAGCCAGCCTTAGATTCACAATGCTGCCTCAGTCCCGCCCCCTAGGCGTGCGCACAGAAGGCGAGCACCCGTAGGACCTGGTGTCCCTTGGGGACTGTGTGCTGAGTGAATCCCTTTCACCCAGAACACCAGCCGTTATGTACTCACCGCCTCCTGTGCACACGCCCAGGGGGCAGGGCTGAGGCAGCACCACGGATCTAAGGGTGACCACAGTTCATCCCAGATGGCTGCCAGAAGGTTGCAAATCAGTGCTGTGGCCCCACCAGTGCCTCCATGCCCTGCTTACTGGCTTTTCACTGGGACCATCCTGCCCCTGTGTGGGAAAACCACACTGCCAATCTCTCCCCCTGCTCTCATCCTTTCCTGAGTGCGGAGGAAGGAAGGAGTTGGGAAGGAGACGGAATGGGTCCTTTAGGCCAGTGGTTCCCAAACTTTTTCAGTCCACTGCCCCCTTGGTGCTACAAACTCTTCCTCGGTGGTTTAATAATCCAAGGTGGATTAATAAGAAACATCATCTAATAAACATTTTGGTAGTAATTCTACAATTTTCTCTATTCATCTCTAGCTGTCCCTATTCCTAAGCCTTGGCTAATGAATGCTCCAGGAGTTATCTAATACAGTGGCCCCCAACCTTTTTTGTGCCACGGCCCGGTACTGGCATCACAAAATGATCCGCGGCCCGGTACCAGCATCAGCACACATGACAAGGCAAGGCGAGCCAAGCAACCGGCCAGCCAGCCGTCCCCCGCTTCTCCCCGCCACCTGCAACTCCTCCTTTGTACCTTTGTCGATGGGCTTTGCTTCGGGACAGCTTCGGGACGGTCGCTCAGCTCGCCTTGCCTTGGGTGCTGAAAGAATCCTCGCGCCTTAGTTTCGTTCGAAGCCCCCCCTTCAATGAAACTAAGGCGCGAGGATTCCTTCAGGACCCAAACACCGCTTTCCAACCGGAAAAGCTCACCTGGAAGCACTTTCTCATCAAACAAGATGGCAGCGCCCAGCAAACCAGCGGCCCGGTAGGAAATGTTCCACGGACCGGTACCGGTCCGCGGCCCGGTGGTTGGGGACCCCTGATCTAATACACATTCTATTTGCTCCAGGCCATCTCTATTCCTAACTTCTAGCTGAGGTCTACAAGGTGTCTAACTCTGTTACTTTTATTAGCTTTCTAACTGCCCAGAATTGTTACAAGCTTTACATGTGCATATTTCCTGTGAATAAGCATACTTTGTTCTTGCCAGACAGACTCCACAATTACAGGCTTCTTTGATTTATGTTCGAAGCGATAACTCTTGAAGCCTGCCTCATAGCCCATAAAACTGAGCTTTTTAGCCTTTGGTTGTCCCTTTCTTCTAATTGCTTTTGGAATATGCACCCACGCATTGCTTCCAAACACTCTTAAATGTGCCAAAGATGGTTTTCTCCCATATAGCACTGCATATGGAGGAACTCCAGAGCCTATTAATGGAGGAACTCCAGAGCCTATTAATTAAATAACTAGCAATCAATATGGCTTCACCCCAATATGACCTGCTCAAACCAGAATCCTCCAGCAGCGAGTCCTTCATGGTTTGTAAGACTCCATTCCATCTCTCAGCGACACCATTCTCAGCTGCTGTGTAAGGATTTGTGCGTCTGTGTTTTATTCCTAACTGTCCCAACCACTGTTGAAAACTTGACATGAATTCTGAACCTCTGTCAGTTTGCAACTGACATACCTGTTGTTTATACCTTCTTTCTACAAAGCTTACCCATTGCTTAAATTTCTGTAGCACCTCTTTAGTATTTTACTCTTTAGTAAATAGCAGTACCCAAACCTGCTATAGTCATCTACAATGACCAGTGCATACTTTGCTCCCTCCAAACTGGCTTGCATTGGCCCAACCAAATCTGCATGTACCATCTCTAGAGCTCTTGTTGTCTGCCTTACATCCCTTTACATGCAATTCTTCTGCATACTGGTCCATCTTTTGAACAACTTTGAAGCTGGCATGACCAAGCTTTCTGTGCAAAAGATGAACACATGAATCATGTTTTGCCACATTGCCACCTGTGTGTGCACACCAAACATTTTTTTTATAAAAAATTTATTAATTTTCAATAAACATACAGAAACAAAACATAAAACATGAAAACATAAAACTTCTTTTTGGAAAGCGGCTTAATCCTGGGTTACATCTTTTTGTACAGACATAAATCAAATTCATGCTCAGTTGATATACCATTTCATATATTATTTACCATTCTACATTTTCTATATAGCTTCTCCCCTCTTTTCACTCTCTTAATTCTATTTTATTTATTTCATCACAATTTAAATCATTATACTTGCATCTTTTGTCTGTTCTATTTCAATTATCTATTATCTTTTCTCATTAACACAAGATTTCTCCTGTAATCACTGATTGAGGTATGACGCCTTTATATCTTTCCCCTAAATTTAACACTTAAAATAATATATAATTTTCATTCTGATTCTGCTTAGTACACTCTAAAGCTACCTACTATATTTTAAAATAAAAAAATAATAAGTTTATAATATAATTAAAACAATAATCCATAGCAAATTAAACTCTATCATTAAATCTTAAGCATTTTACACATTCCTTTTAATATTTTATCCCATTTTATAATCATATAATGTTCCAGTTTTCTAACATTATTTCAAATACAAATACAATAGTCTTATGTACTTTTGCAGAATCTCTTTTTTAATTATATTTTTACCCATTATCTCTGAATAAATCCTGTTTCTTTACATCTTGTTTCAAACCTTTGCAACTTCTCTTCCCATTTTCCCTTCCTTTCTTCTCCAGTCTAGCCTTTTTACCTCTCCATCTCTTGATCTCCACCCTCTTAATCTCCACCCTCTTCTGTATTCCTCTTATCTGTTGCTTTCTGACATTGTATCGATTTTTCACCTTATTTTTCCCTTTTTTGGTTGCTTTTTTAAGTCTTAAATTCTCCATTCTCTTTCCCCTCTTTCCCTTTTCTTCCCCAGCTAAAGTTGTTTGTTCATTAAAGATGGCTTCTTCTTCTTCATCCCAACCTTCTTGTTCTTGTAATTTCTGGTAGGTAGAAATCGCCATTTCTAAGAAATGAAAAACAGATCCAGAAGAGCCCTTCCCTTCTTGTTCCTCTTCTTTTAGCTTTTTGAATTCCATTTTCAGTTCATCAACAAGTAATACCATTGTGAAAAATTTTTAAACAACCCAAATGTTTTTAGTCTTTCAAATAATAATTTCCAAAGGTCCCAAAGTCACCAAGCAATCCAAATAGACACAAACTGTTTCATTTAGCACTTTCTTCTTTTTATAATTTCTCTTCCTGGGGTACAGTTCAATTGCAAAGTTCCAAAGTATATCTTTTAGAAGTCTTGTTACAATTTAACTCTGATCTTATAAGTTCCAAGCAGCCTCCTCCAGCAAAATCTTAATATTAATTCTTTCCCTCTCCCTTCCCGCTTATAGCAAAAAAAAAAAATTTTTTTTAATTCCAATGTTCAGAAATCTTTAATGTCCCCTTGGCTTAATTTTCAAATTTAATTACCTGCTGGTGCCAAAACAGGTTTTTCCGATTTCCATCTGCTATCACCATAAGGTAGGAGAGTGAAGAAAAAAAAAAACTTTCCCTTTTAACTTTCATCCGCCGCTTTTTCCAATCTTCATTGGGAACAATGTATCTTTAAAGAAATTAAAATTCCAGGGTATTTAAATGTTACTTGTTATCCCGGTTCAGCCAAAAACTTTCACTTTCTCAGCTTACTCCTGCACATTCTTGTCCGGATGAAAGCTTCTTTGTGGCGGCCATTGCTGACCGCTGCTCCATCGCTTTTGGAAAAGGGAGTTAAGCCAGCTGAGGAGGGGGGGTTGCGATTCCCGCAGACGCCTGCTGGATCTCCCCTGTCTTCAGTTACCTCTACAGGGTAATTATTAGCTCCCAAATCCAGCTGGATCGGGGGCACTCCAGTGGCGAGCGCAGCAGGAACCATGCATGATCGCGGATTCCTGCCACCGCCGAAGCCTTACAAACCGGAAGTCCATGTGTTGGCACACCAAACATTTTGTCCCTGCAACACAAAGGTTATCTTGCTTTATGCCCTTTGCAAATACAATCCCATTTTGCTTTATGAGACACTTCATATTTACAAATGTGGTTTCAAATCCTTGCTTGTCTAAACTAGAGACACTCAGCAAATTATGCTGCATTTCAGGCACACGCAAAACATCATTGAACCTTGTTTCCAGATATGGAATTTGCACACTGCCTCTTCCAGTGACTTTAGCCCTTTTGCCATTTGCCAAGGCTACTGCATCTCCAGCAGCTCCATCCATCCTGTTAAACAAGTTAGAATTATTAACAATTGTTTGACTAGCCCCACTGTCAATTAGCCATTGATTTCTCCTGCAATAGCTGACTTTTGCAACAGCAGCCTGTCCATCAGCTAATTGTCTTCCTTGCAAACTGCTTCTTCTGTCTTGCAAATAATTTCTTCCTTGCAAAAACTTTTTCCTTTGCAAACAGTCTTTCTTTAAGTGAGTCATTTCACCACAAATGAAGCACCACCTCTGTTGCTGGGTTGTAATCTGATATCCCCTGCTGCCCTTCTCTTCTTTGGAGACAGTCAGTCTGTGGAATTTTCCATTCTACTCCTTGGGCCCCCTCCTCAGGGATTTCTCTTCCTTGTGGCATTTTCTATAATGGCGTTTCTGCTCTTCAGCTATCAGACACGCTTTAAGAGCTTCCAAACGCAGTTGCTGCTCTGGCTTGCATTCAAATGCTGCAGAAACAATATCTCATGAATCATCTAGACTGCTCAAAACCAAAAGCACTTTCTGAGATTCAGGAATCTGCATTCCACGCTGTTCTAACTCCACAAATAAAGTTTGCATGTTCACCAGATGCTGCTCAACAGATTCTCCCAGTTGCAAACTGGCTCTGTATAACTTCCTTGATAATTGCACGATATTGCATGCTGACACACTCACATGTACAGTCCTTACCTTCAGCCAGACCTCATTTGCAGTTTTTAAATCAGCTACTTTGATAAACTGTTCATCTTGTAAAACTTAAGATGATATAAGCCATTGCTTTATCATGCTGCCTCTGATCTGCAGTAGTTAAGGGCGCTTGGGGGTGATTTTCCACAATATCCCACAGTTCCTTAGCTTTCAGGAAACATTCCATCTTTGCAGCCCAAATAATATCTTCTGACCCAAACATGGTAGAGAGGTCTCCTTAATTTTCTCAGCCATCCTGCAAAGCTTTTTCTCTGTCTTGTTTCTCCTTTTAAACACGGACAGTCTCTCTCAGCTGAATTACAATTCAGTCTTTTAGTGTGTTCTGGTTCTGGCTGGGCCCATAACCTGTTAGAGTTGCAGCATAAATTCAAGTCCAGAAAACACACAGATGACTGATTCAGCAGGATCATTAACTTCTTTATAAACATATTAACATAAGTAAAGTTTACAATACCATTTGTAGATTCTTTCAACGTAACATAAGCAAAAACAAGCAGCAGCTCAGAGGACTCAGAACCAGAGGTGGTATTCAGCAGGTTCAGACCAGTTATGGAGTACCAGTAGCGGAAATTTTGAGTAGTTCAGAGAACCAGCAAATACCACCTCTGACTGGAGATTTTACTGTATCCTTCCCCTGCCATGCCCACCAAGCCACGCCCACAGAACTGGTAGTAAAAAAAAATGAATCCCACAACTGCTCAGAACAGAACTCTAGTTTCAGTTTCAATTCTCAGCAAAGCACAGAGATCCAAACCACACCCAGGCTGTCAGCTCTCATTGGCCGGTCTATTGCCATGCTTACTCAATTGCTGACTTTGTTAACCATGTCTCTGCCAGTTAATGAATATACTCTGACACATTTGCTACAAGTGCTGCTCATCAGTCCCTCACTTTGCCAACAACTGTAAGGTCAGTGTAAAATGCATGGAATGTGGCAGCACAAGCCACAACACAGCTTTACACCCAGGGCCATCACCATGGACTTTACAACACACTTACAGTGGCAGTGAGCATGGCAGAGAGGAAGAACACACTGCTACAAACACAACAGAAATCACTTCAAAATGCAGAGGATTCTGCAAAGAGATTGCAGGTGGCAAGTCATGCTCC